GTGGCAACCGAACTCTTTTGATGCGGACGAGGATATTACACAACGTCTGGGGATGGCAGTGAGTAACACAAGAGGTTTCGTTTCAGCGCTCTCAACCCCATTCGATTGTTTCAAGCATGCAGCCACCATGAACGATGCCAACGGTTGGAGACTGATAGGACCGGCTGCAAATGGAACGAATGGAAGGATGGTGTCCAGCATTGACGACATTAGGATCATTCAGCGTTCAGAAGAGTCAACTGCATCTTCAAGCGTGGCCCCCAACAAAGACAAACGATTCGGCCGCTCTCGGTCCCCTTCGATCCAGCAGAACGACAATAAGAGACAAGACGACGAGGACGAATCGAGCCGTTGGCTAGCAGGACTGTACATTGAAAGATCACGAAGGGACAACAACCAACGCCGACGCAATCAAGACGAAATCCAGCAGCAGACCAAAGCGCCCTCAAAGTTTGGCGACTCAAACAAACGAGGACGGTCGCCGTCTGGGGTCGCTCGGCTGTCTTTGCGAGATCAGAGCAAGCACGGCAAGGCTCGAGGAAATCCTGATGAGTGCAATCAGTCGAAGTATGAAATGAGCGACGCCGCAGGTTCCCCCGCTCCACGCAAGCGCGTTCGCTCGAACACGTCGATGTCATCCAAGATGACTCTAGAGGAACGGCTCAAGAAGCCGCTTGCGCACTGGAACTCTTATCGTCCCACTGGCGATCGCCGACGACAGGACACGGAGCGCAAATCCGACAGGGACGAATCGGGCGGCAGGGAAGGTGATCGAAGGGGAAGCGGTGGAGCGGAAGTCGAGAGGCGATGGAATTGCTACAGGCCCCAGCGGCGATCGACCTTGGTTTCGAGTGGCGATATGGAATCCGCAAAAGAGAAGCGAGAGAGTTCGCTGACCCGATACAACAGCGACCAGATTGGTCGCAACTCGTATCGGCCCAAAGAAGACTTGTCGAGAGCGTCTTCATCGTCACTGACCCTCCGCGGAAGCGATCGCACCAGCACGCCCGAAAAAATGAAGGCCAACAACTCACAGGAGTTGTCCGAGTCATTATCGAAGCCCATAATTGACCAGACCGCTTTGCTCAAGCTAGCATCGCTTTCTGCTCCGCTCACGACATTGACGGATGCCATCACCACGCTGGAGAAGCTGGCTGCATTCCCACCTGTCCCAGAAACGAAAACGAGACAGGAAACGACCGCAAACATAGACGTCTCGACTGCGGCTGCTGCCGCCGCTGCATTGATTGCATTTGCCGGGTCCCTAAAGGCGGCTGCGGGACAGGATATTTGATTCATTCGCCGATGTTAGAATCAGGCAGGATTGTAGAGTGCAAACATGAACCACGACTAATGGTAGAAGAATTTTGTAGTCGGTCAAACCAATTTAGAGGGAATCTGTGACAATCTATTTCACTTTCTAAGAAAAATACACGTATTTCAACGATAACGCATTGAGATAAAGGCTGCAAAATATCAATTACGATTGTCCGCAATGACAAAAAAGCCGAAGCTCTCGCACCTCTGTATGAGATGTCATTATTGTTGCATGTGCATATGCCCGCACAATCCCGACGATTCGTCGCTTCCGTCACAGCAATCACAGATCCCGTCTTGCCACCTACTCACTCGGTACTTAAGATCTTGTGTCCAAACAGACAAATCAGGATCCCTTTCCACCGTATGTACATGCACCTAGCTCGTCTGTGGCGTCCTTACACAGTTTCTATACTCATCTAGAAACAATTCATGGCGGCTGATCGCAGACAAAGCCCTCCGCGTGAAGCAGCGTATCGTATCTGCTGATGATCTGGAGATACCCCGTGTCGGATGCATGACCGAGATATCGAGGCTGGGGTGGGCGGATGTGGCACGTTGCGGGAAGGCTACTTTTGATTTGGCTTCGAGCTGGACTACGTGTAGCGGAGCGATAAAGGGCGTTGCAAGCACAGACAAGGCGATGAACTGAATCTGGGCTCTCCGAGATACGAGACGTCGAGTAATGGTGCGATACTCGCTGGTATAATGAGTTACTATGTAGGTCCTTGTCGGTTAATCAACATGGGGAATACAATTTCAGCAGCTAATGATGCGTGGTTAGTTTTGCGAAGATTTCCAAAATATGAGGCCGACGCTCCAAAGCGCCCGACCAGCCATCCATTATTTACGATGAGTGACAACAGATGTTCCAGCAAGCATGAAATACAAGGACAATAAAAAAACACAACGCACTTTTTTTGGGGCTTTAAAGTTTAGCACAAACGTCCACTCAAAAAACCAACTCATCGTTGCCCACAGGTATCGAACAATGGGAGCCCGAAAACCAGTTGCAAAGCTTACTCCTTCTTGACCGGAGGAATGAACAACATCCGGTTCGGAGTTCGGGTTCCGCGAGGGAGTCCCTTGATGTAGTAACGACCCGCAACGTACACCAGCTGAGACCGTAGATCAGCAGGGGACAAGTCCGCCCACTCAGGTCGGCTCAAAAGAGCGGCGACAGCTCCGCAAACTGGTAGACAAGTAGAGTCAATATAAATCCATGCGTTCTGCACCATTATTACCGTGGGGAGAAGCCATCGAGGTCCCCGAGATTGTGTTCGTAGCAGTCTTGGATCCAATCCAGGTAGACTCGATGTCCTGACCAGGAGCGAGGATGTTGACACAGCGGCCGTAGTTCGAGAAATACGCCTGTCATGAAAGTTAAACGGAGTCCATTTGCTAATTCACTTCCAACTTACCTTTTCATCATCGATGTTGGTGGCACCGACAGTAATCGCCTTAACGGAAGCTGCAGGGGAGTAATTGCAAGCGTCCTGGTTGTCGTTACCAGCGGCAACAGCGAAGTGAACACCTCCCTCAACTGCAACATCGACAGCACGGTCGAGAGACGGCGATTTCCCACCTCCGAGAGACATGTTCGCAACACTCCTTGCCTTCCCCTTCTTGGAAGCAGCGATGTGCTGGTTGAGGACGTACTCAATGCCCTTCACCACATCCGAGAGGGTACCCGAACCGCTGGAACGAAGAACTTTAACCGCCACAAGCTTGACCTTTTTGGCAACACCATATTTCTTTCCACCAACGGTTCCAGCAACGTGAGTTCCTGTTTGAATCATCAGATCAAATTCAAATTATTTGTCAAATATTTACCGTGGCCGTTATCGTCACGGTCTGGGTCGCCATCGGGAATAGTCTTTCCCCAAACAGCTCGTCCTTCGAAGTCAACATGCTCAATGTTGATACCGGTGTCAACAATGTAAGCGGTAACACCATCTCCGGCATCTGCCTCATATTCGTAATGACGGTCAGAAGGAACGCCGGTGCGGGTAGTGAGACGAGAAAGACCCCAGGGTGCGGGAGCTTCGACATCGTTGATGTAAACGATTTGGTCCCTCTCGACGTAGGCAACGTCGCCAGAAGAACGGATGTGTGCGAGTTGATCCTCGGTGAATTTGCCGGTATATCCTCGGAAGCTCGAGCCATCAAAGTCAAAAATCGACTGAGGCCCGTATTCGGAGCTCTGTTATACAGAAAATATGAGTTACCAGTTTGTCAGAACTTGTCTAACCAACACACACTAACCTTTGCATTTGACACAAAGGAGGTGAGCCAGGATTGGTGCTTCAACATATCATCCTTTGTGACATGGTCTTTGAAGACCACAATGTACTTGTCCTTGATGTGGACGGCGGTGTCTGAGGCCATCAGGGGAGCAAGAGCTGCGTTAGCAGCCTTAGAATCGCGGCTTGTAGGAGTTCCATAAGCTGAAGCAGCCAGGAAGAGGCAGACGGCGGCCAGGAACTTCATTTCGTTGCGGCAAGTGGTGGTACTCAAGGGGATAATGTGAATGCACTTCCTTCGATTTTATAGGAAAGTTGTTGGCGGAATGGGGATGGCGATCGGTCACGGGAGGAGAGGGTTGGTAGGGTTGAACAGAGCCACAGGACACATGACACAGCGTGGCGGTCACGTGGATACCCACGACTTCTATGAATATATTGATACTGCAGTGCAAAATATGGCAAATAAGGATGCTTGTGGCAATGGCAAACAACCTGAAAAACAATAAATACAATCGGTCATGGAGACACCGGAACGGATCACAGTGCAACACATACCCAATAAAGAACCCAAAAATCAAATCTCCCAACACCCTGAAAGAAGACAACACTCCCGAGCCCGCTAGCCAGGATCCAAAGAAAAGATATCTTTGAAGGAGTGTTGTGAGCAAAAAAGTACAATGATCCAACTAAGACCAAGAAGACATGCTGTACACCATATTGCAAATAATACAAAGGCGAGCAACTTCCAGAAGATGGAGAAACAATGTGTGTCAGTGCATCTTGGGAGAAGGAGTGAGATCTGGGAAGATGAGACAGCAGTTGGTGGCTATTAATGCAAAAATGGCTACTGTGCCCATAAAATGGGGCCAAACCTCCTACGAAATGGGCTGAGTCATGAGTCTTTGTGCTCGCACTATTATTAGGCTCACCTTGGCTGGTTGAAACTGCCTTGGAGACAGGTGGGGAAATCTGGAGTCAAAATCATTGGAAAGCAATCTCCAATGCCTTTCTGGTAAGCAAATAAGCCAGCCATTTTGATAGATTTCGCAATTTTGTATCAGGATACCGCCATGTGTGGGCTCTGGATCCACACAAGGGACAAAGTGTTTGCGTCAACTGATCCTCTTAAACATGCCACACATTTATACATTAACTTTGGAAGAGCAAAATACCATCAGGCCACGGCTACCGTATCCTCTCAACAATGCGTTCAAGCACTGTCACTCTGTTGCCCACACAATGTTGATCGCAATTCATGGGGTGGAGATAATCGAGGCACTGGAGGAGGAGTTAGTAACGACAATTTGTTGGCAATGTGAGGTGTAGTGTCGACATGGGACATAATGGATTCGGATGCCGTGGTGGCGGGATGTATTTACGTTAAAATAAAAGAAGAGTATAGGAACATACATATTAATAAGGAAGAAACATAGAAATTAGGGGTGGATAGAATCGAAGTACCACAGTAGGTTTTGGAGACCTAAGTTCTACCATTGAACTACACCTTTATTTATCTGTCCGGCACAAAGGACCTCAGAACAACACAAGACAGCAATCGCGAAATAGAGACATATTGATGTGCAGAACTATTCGCTATCATCCTTTCTTGACTGAACTTGTTGCAAATCCAGTGCAATGAAAACCGACTTGGAATCTACGAACGGTAGTGGAGCGTGGCCATTCTCTTCTTACGGGGTTTACGACAACTACTTCTGAACGGCACTGAGTTGAAATGAGGCTCATATTTGTCGAAGAAGAGCGCAAAACTGGTGCTGTCGCATACTTTGTAATAATTCACGACGTGTAGAAAAGATACATTGGTCTCCCTCCCTAAGATGTCATGAGAAAATAGAAAGATTGTAAATTGATGTCACGTTCACTAATCTTTGAGCAAACTCGAGTGAGAAGTTCCTGAATAACAGCTTCATTCCCCTTTATATATTATATACAGTATTTGATAATATGGACGAATCATGCTAATTAATTTAGGAATTGATATAGGAGAAATGCGAAGTACAGGTTTAACAATGTGTTCTCATCTGGTTGTCTCCCTCATCATGTTTTTGCGATCTATCTAGCTTTAAACTGTTCGGACAACTTCGAATAAATGTGCAGGACTTCTATTAATCGGCCTTCCTCCGTCTCTTCACAACATTCGCCTGATCTTTCTTCCAATTCCGCTTCCGCCCACTGGATGACACCGCCTGGAGTGCAGAGTACTTCGACTTCAAGTACTTCTTCGCTTTGGCATCTGCAAGCAACTGATCCACAATCCGAACTTTGCGTTCCTTTCTCGTCAGTCGTCCGTTGTAGAAGTCTGCAGCACCGGACACGATGGTGCCAACCTTAAACACAGCATTTAGCTGAGTAAGAGAGATTTTCCGGAGCTTGAGTTACCTGAATCAAACTCGGAAGACCTTTTCCGTGATCATCTCTCTTAAAGTGATGCTTGGGGTCGATGGCACCACGTGCTTTCAAGACCATCAGGTCTTGCTTCAACTCCGGTGTCAGCTCCTGTCCGGTCATATCAAACCAATTTGCCCCTGCATTTGGCGGCTCGACCTACAACAAAACACACATGTCAGTCAATGATAGTTTGCTCACTCTCAGCCTCCCACCTTTTTGTGCTTCTTGTCAATTTCCAAAGTTGGTATTGCAGTTGGTGCTGTTAAAACTGTCTTCGCTGGGATGACTTCAAGCACACCAGAGCCGGGTCCCACTGGAAGTTTGCCTTCAACAACGGTGACTGCCTCACTGTTCACATGGAGTGTCCCACCAATTGCACCATGTTTCAAATATCTCTTAGGCTGAATTCCAGTGTCAAGTGTTGGTTGCCTGCGATCATTAGTAAGCAAACAATTCCCATTTCTCCTTTAACTGAGCTCACTTCTTTTTGTTGGAAGTTTTCCCAGTTGACTCTTTCCGATCGTTTCCCGTACGTGCCTCATATCTTTGTCGCTTCAGAGAGACTTCAGCTTTCTCCAGCAAGCTTTCTAGGTCGATGTCGTCGATATCCATTCCTTTCAATATGTCAAAAACACAAAGCCACACCTTCGTCGAACGCGACATGTCCAAAATTCAAAGCGAGAACGACAGCGACGAAAACCTCGATGATGAAGAAGAAGATGCTGTCAAAGAGTCTGCAATTGGGAGAAAAACCGCAGGATGGACTCGGGAAGAAGAAATTTGTGGTATGCCGGAGAGGTTATTCAAAGGATCACGCTAAAAATAGTGGGCTGAAGTGCGTCGACATTATGGCCTGCAGACTCTTTACCCAGAACTTTGGGAGGATGATCAATTAACAGAGATAGCTACAGAGCAAGCAGAAGGGAACGCAGCGAACCCCCAAAAGGAGAAACCTTTGATCACAGCTAACGAAACCACTGATTTCTCAGATCCTCTTGGGATTAAAGAGTCAATCATAAGGTTGTACAGTTCTTTCTATTCAAGAAAAAAAATAATGATTACTTCTTTCACAGCAGGGGGAAGCGCAAAACCATGAAGACGTCCGATTTAAGCAATAGTGAGGATCATTTAGGAGCGTTTTCCTGGGTTTCCTTTCTTCTAATGCGCTTTCAGAGTCCCATTTATTTGTCTCTAGTAAAGGATTCAATGCAACTTCGTTCCTATGGGATGTCCATAAGGGAACCTCATTTAGAGATCTTGAGTTGGGTGTGGAACGTCTCCATGCTGCCATCGATGATCGTACAGATGTAATGAAAAATCTTGTCAAGAACCACTTTGCAAAATTTGTTAGTGCAAAGAGCACAATAGATTGTAAGATACTGTTTCCTGACTACAAGATTGTATACTTAAGTTCACAGCGTTTTACGAAGAGATGTCTGGAAATAATTTGATAAAGTCAGACAGCTATGGTCTCTCTCCTTTTACAAACACACTGAATAGTATTAAAAAATAGCCCATACTGTAATTTACACCAACTAATCTTCTCCTTGCATGTAAGAAACCACATCCACTGCAAACGAGCTGTACGCTCCGATGCTTCAGAGAAAACAAAAAGCAGAAAAGATTAAAACAGCCTTATCAGTTTTAGAGCAATGGAAGCTATTCTTCACTTTGCCAACTGTGATGCAAGATTCAATCAGAAAGGTAAACTTCTTGTTAATATGATGACTAATGTTAAGATTTTCTTCAGGGAAGCCTAGATGCTGCTGTGAGAGCCTATAAAAAGGGAAAATACTTAATGGACTCTTCATTCAAGTCTACTCGTAAACCCACCTCACCATCACACTTGCTTAGTGTTCAAACAAACACCTTATCTGGTGGCCAATCAGCTGAGAAGGATTCTTCAGTTCTTCCTCAAAAGCATCGTCCTGTATTTGAAAAAGTTTGGTTAGAGGTTGAGAAAACCGTGTCTATTATGCGATTGTCATTGCAAGAGCAACTCCAGGACCCTTCTGTCTCTTTTGATCGGCAGGAGCTTGCAATACAGTAACTAGAAATTTATTGTAACCGATAATTCATTGACGCTTTTTATGAAGGTATTTGGTTGACCTAGATTCATCCACAGACCCTGTCTTGTTTTACTTGGAGTGTCAATATAAGTGGATAATTGAACAGCTTGTTTCTTCCTATAATTCTCACATTGATCGACTGAAGAGTAAGCTTTCTGTTTCAATTTTACTACTTATTAATCATTCTCGAAGAACTGAGAGAAATTTCACAGTCAATAGGGACAGATGTTTCTGAATCAATTTTGTTACTAAGTGATACCTTTACCATTAGACCTTCGGTACCATTAACAACAAAGGAGTTTAAAAGGGCGCTCCTGACAGTTGACACAAAAGCATATGAGGAGTATTTTGGTACAGTTCCTCATTTCTATTAAGCACATTATCCTGACAATTTTTTTGGGTCTAGTTGAAGACTTAGATGTACAACTTTGGACTTCTGTTTTCAATGTAGTCAAACATACATGTAGTACCTTATCTCATTCACTACCAAACTTTTGGCAGTTATGTCGACTTTTCAGTGAAGGCAGATTTCAAAAGGTAAAAAGCTCTTAAAATAGTGTATTTACACTTCTAACTTTATTTAACTCTTCTATCAGCAAAACAAATTCGATGATAGTGCAAAGCAGAAGAAAAAGATTGACATAAAAAAGCTTGAGCAATGTCAGAATATGTTCAGAATGTTGCTCAAAACTTATTGTAAAATGGTTGATAACATATTCTATCTGTCGTTCACATTTCATGAACTTCAAGACCGGACTGTAAATAGTGTCTCAAGAAGTACAATAATATGCCCTCAAATATCAATAGAAGAACCTCCAGAAACCACAGCAGAAGTGAAAACTTGGACTCCCAAAGTGCCTGAACTAAAGACTGTACCAATAGACATGTCATCTTTCTTATTCTCTCAGGTGTTTGCATCAACACATTTTGGGGCACAGATTATAAGTGAACAGACAAAGTGTCTCAATTGCCTAAGGGAATTGAATATTGGAACTATAATATTCTCAAATTCTTCTTCCGAAATTGTTGTTCTCAAGACGTTGGCTGAAACAATACATAAATCTGGCTCACGCATAATAGACTCAATATGCCATGGAGTATTAAATGGTAAGTCAACATTTGCCATTTAATCATAAAGGGTCATCACATATCATCTCAGAAACAAAGAACTTTCACAGATTTGAAGAATGGAAGTTTGAATCAGAATCATTAGGACCAAACAATGACACAGAAAAAAACATGAGAAATCTTGCAGAGAAATCTGTATTAAAGGCGCCAAATGTAGATGCAGATCCTCCAGAAAAACCCATTCTCTCAAAATCCAAAAGTGAAACTACAACACTTCCCAGAATGTTTTACAATTTAGTGAATCATACTCTCATTCGCATTCACAAGATTTTATCAATGCTCCCAACAAATGCAGACATCCAGGCCTACAAATCTGCAAGTCCAGCTTTGAGCCCAAAACCAAGTGATGTTGCAATAGCTGACTATGAGCAAGAAAATGTGCAACCAGTCAAACAGGAGCATCTTGACAAGATTAAGGCTACTTTTTTTGAGTCATTGTACAATTTTCTTGATGCTCTTCAGTGGACAGCAGTACACTGGCAGCCAGATTCAAGTGAATCTACAAGCAGAAATCTTGGACCAGCTGTAGCAAGAGGCTCAAACTTATTGAATGAGTATGCTTTGACTTCAAGACAAACAAAGAAACTCAACATAAAAAAATTGGTATTCATACTTTGCAATTTTGAGCCATTTTGATGTTAACCCAATTGAATCATACAGGATACTCGTGTTTTGATAGTTATCAAAAACTTGGCATACCTTCGAAATATACTGATCCCTATGCTTGTGATGCTCTTTGAAGATAAGTTCAAGGCATACTTTTCTATTGAGACAAAGGTAATTACTTTTAAGTAACTTAGAGTCATACTCTGAAGTGCACTAGAATTTATTTAATTCTTTGGACCATTTGGATAATCTGATGTTCCAAAATTACATTAAGCGACGAATGTCAAAAGTTTGCAAGT